TGACACGTAATAGTTTATCAACTAATAAATTTGTGGCTCTCTTAAATGTACTAAAAGTTAAAAATCTACTTTAAACAATAATCAAAGAATATTTCTCAATATTCCTACATTTTCTAAATATCTTAATATTTCCTACATATCTCGGAAAATTCTAAATATCCCAAAATGTATCCGGATATTGCTGGAAAGGGTTATTCAAGACTCTTGATACGATTATTATACCTCAATGCTGGGGCAGCCTCTGGACTCGCATCTAGTAAAACTAACTTTTTCCCTTTGTATATGTGGCCATAGACATCTTGGCTAACAAAAGGAGATTCCAAATTACCAACAGAAATATCAGCTTGTCTGATGTGTGGTGCAACCTCATTGAACGAGTCATTATATGTGTGATACTTGTGTTCCACGTAATATTTCACCGGGCCAGAGAAGGAAATATCTCCCACAAAAAGTAAAGTGACTTGATCTGCGAAGTAACATGAGAGAAATATCTTTAGAGCCTTACGTTAAGCTGTTGATGAGGCGTTGAACTGAAACAAGTTTAATCCTACAATTGCCTGAATATCGACGAAAAATTTCCAACAAATAGAAGGGTATGTCAGGAGGAGGATAATTGTTATTAATCAACATTAAAGCTCAAGTATGTTTTTTCTAAACTTCATTGTATGAAGTCTTGTTTTGTAACTAGCTATGACCTGCTTTACTCCTGTGTTAAATTTCGATCCCTGACTGTTTTCCTAGCCGATTAATTTTAATTAACACACGTTAGTTATTTTGCTGTTGTAAACAATTTTAAATTAATTACCAGAGGTGAATATAAGTATTGAATTAGGCGTTCTGATTGCTCGAGAAACTCAGCAAAACTTCGAGGGGAGGTTTTTAAGGTTACAATATACCTTCAGGGGTGTCTCGCGTGCAAGCGATGTAGCGCGTACAGTTTAAGCGGTAGATACCTAAACCCCTATATCAAATTAAAGCTTATAGAGCTGGCTATCAAACTGTACCAAGAATTTTGAAATGAAATGAATTGTCGAATTTTTCACGACCACTAAATGCGAGCGCCCGAATCACCTTTCGAAAGCTACAAGTCAAAGCAATTTTTGTTTTTCGCCAATTTCATTTTTTCCTCGGTTTCAGGGCCCAAAAAACGTGCTTAAAAAACGTGTCTGCGTTTTGCCATATTCAATTGCAGTTAAAAGTTACAGAACATTTTCGAAATAAGACGAAAAAAATGTAGAGGGATCGTACAAAAATCGCTCTCGAAGAAAAAAATATTTCGAAATTAACACTTCGCAGACACGCTTTTGTAGTTTATGTGTTATACTAGCTACTGTCCAAATTTGAGAGCAATTGAGCAAATTCCCTTTGAGTTATAACTCTTAAAAGTGCCTGCTTAAAGCAAAAAAAATTATTCGAGAAAACAGCACTAAGAAAAATCTTCTGCTTTGCAAACAAACTTCGCCCGCAAACGCCTTCAAGTGGGTTCTCAGATAACTGAGCCAATCAGTGCAGGGAAAGTTTACTACCGTTAACGTCCTGGTGAATAGAATCTCCAAAAACCCTTGTGTTTCGCAATGCGCTCAAGGCGCCGAAGGTGGAGAGATAATTTTTCTGTAGCTCGGTTTTTCTTGAAGCTGGTCACTCTGGCAAAATGGGGAAGACGAAAAAGGATACGAACGTTAGAGTGGCTAGGCGAAGAAAACAGATAAAAGAAAGTGCGGCGGAGCAACTGCGCGTGGTCCAGCTATGCATGGATAATATTTCAATGGGTCTCAATGAGTCCAACGATTCGTCGATATCGGATTCATCGGAGTCTCTGTCAACATCCCTGTTATTACTGTCAAGTTCCCAAATTTTTACATAACCTTTCTTTTCTCTTACCTCGATTTTTTTGCCCGCCTTATACGATAGCTATAGCTTCATTCGCGTGGTGAACTTTCATCTTCACTCATTGATATATTTTCACTCGTTGTTCGCTGTTTTCGCTTTTACGAACTGGTCCATGTTTCTAACGTGGTCTACCTTTACTTATAACTTAATAAAATTACACCTAATACCAAAAATGCTTGGTAGTCAGAACAACAATGCTGATCAACATGAGTAATCAATTCGTGACATCCGTACAGGTAATTCCCGCGAAAATCGTCTTGGTTGATTTCCTACGCGCCATAGGGCTGTCAATCAAGATGTAAACTTTTACTTCCGGCGAAAACGTAAAACCACCATTTCTCCGTCAATATTTAGTCTTTTTCAAAATTCTTTTTCAGGAATTAGAGATTATTCTTCGACCACTACTTTGACCCAAAAATCCAAATTTGAAGAAAATTGCTGACCTGAAGGTGTACTGTAACCTTAAGCCAAGTCACCTTTTGCTATGCTTGCAAGTAAAATTGGCGGCTGGATATTTCAAATGCAAAACAAAAATGGCCTTTATTTGATCCAAACTGGGATTCTTGAAAATATTGATCGACAGTTATAAGTGTCGATTGACAGTTTTAAGTGTCGACCGACACTTACACCTGTCGATCGACAGTCACAACTGTCGATCGACAGTTATACCTAAGGATCGAAAGTTATCCTTTTCGATAGTTATTAAGTGTCGATCGACAGTTGTTAAGTCGATCGACAGTTATTAAGAGCAAATTTCCACAAAAATCAAACAAAATCAAATTTCTGCGCCAAGGCTAGAAAATTCAAACTCACTCGTCTTTTGCATATAGCTAGCCCCTAGCAAGAGTGCAAACAGGCTGTAGTTTTTTCCTTGAAATAGCTTTGTCTTTCCGAGAAAAACGACATTTTCGATTTAACCTTCAGACCCAATTTCATGCAATTTATAGAGTCCCAGCTGGGCTGAAAATAGGCTGAAAATCGACCATTTTCATTCGATTCGCATTTCGCAACCATTGAGCGCAGAAAAGCTGTGATACAAACAGCTTATTGGAGAACTATTCCTTGTCTAAAAAAGGACAATTTCAAGAATATTGGATTAATCTAATTATTTGACGGTAAACAAAACCAGAGTGTTGTCCAAAATTGAGTTAGTCAGTCGGTGAAAAGAATTGTCATTTTGACCATGTGCCATGTCTCCGAATTCCACAAGATTTTAGATTGTAACTATACTGCAATGAGGAATAATCAGAGGAAATCCTCTTGGAGCACAAATTACGAAAGAAGTCACTTATGGAATCACACAAATTACTGCAATGCAATGGAGAATAATCAGGGGTAATCCTCTTAGAGCACAAGTTACGAAAGAACTCACTTTTGCAATCACACAAATTACTTATTGCATTTTAAATTCTTTTAAGTCCTAAATACCGACTGAATATTCACCAAACCGTCCGGAAACATTGGACGAACAGCCTGTTAGCTGGAGGCGCCACTGTTAATTTCGATTTCATTGTCAACCAGATAACTTGTCTTCATCTCAATAGTACTGACACCTGTGAATTCTGGGCAACGTTCTGCTCTGAAGCCTAGTCCTTGGGGTTTAAATACGAAATGTGATCAATATTTCTTCGATAATTTGAAATACTTTTTTTGAGGAGTTATCGGCTTCAAAATTTGTGCTAAAACACTGTGCATGAGCAGTATGGTTGTTTTGCTCTTGGGCAGTTAATCATTTTACTCGCCGTTTTTCTGTTTCTATATTTCGTGGCCGGATTTGCCAAATGCATAATTAAAGCTCAAAGGAAAAAAAAAATTGGTACATCTCAGCTACAGTCTCTTTCGCAATTTCTGTTTACTGGACGTTGATTTGTTAAAATAACACTACTTTTTGCTGTTAATTCTGTAGCAGTATTTGTTTACAGTTCTACAAATCTTTGTTCAGTGCGGTAAAAATGAGTCTCAACTTAATACTTTCAAGAATCCCAGTTTGGATCAAATGAAGGTAAATTTTATAAATCAGAATGAACGGCGCTTACCTTTCTTCGCAG